TTTTTAGATAATTTGGAGGACGCTATAATGTTTTCAAAATTGAACACTTTACATATTTCTATCATATCAGTTACAGACTTAGAGAAAAACAAAGTATTTAGTAAAATTATATGGTAAAAAGAAAGTACCAAACTTTCAAAATGTACAATCATACTATTTAGTAGCTGATCCACAAAATTACACTTACTGATAATAAAATCTTGTTTTCCATAAGATTTCCTATATTATCTGATGAAAAATTCCAATTTTTCCGTCTATACCCAGTTCCTGTTAGAAATTCAACCATTATTCCAATCCAACCCTTTTTGGCTCTTGGAAAAAGTCATTTGAAGAAGAAGAATGTCCAGAAATTGAAAAGTCTACTTCTGCAAGAATCGACAAGAACCCATCCAAGGTTGTCTAAACGAGTTACTGAAGAAAGCAAAATTTTCAAAATGCCAACTCACAATGTTACAAGTATCCAGTCCTATTGTTAAAGCGATATCAGCAAAACACATTTTGGTCATTCCCGCTTAACAGCCAATCACAGCAGTCAAGTTGTGTGGTACTCAACCACCACTTATTTTAGAAACGCCAAGTTCAGTCGAAATACCCGAAAATTGTGGAATACAAGTAGTTGTGGGAGGCCGAATCCTCTACTCCCGGTGGCGGAGGGGTGTTTAAATTCCGAGTCCTCCCAATGACCATCCTCATTGCATTGAAAACGTGTTGTTTAATAGAAATGAGTCGACGGAGTGTCCCCCCAATCCTGTTAGCATCGAAAACGTGCTGTTCGACAAATTTTTATCGTATAAATAGCTCGATGGAACGCATTCTAGCCCTCTCAATGACCATTCTAATTGTAAAACCTCTTGACGCATCGGTCCCCGATCAATAACCTATTGTATAGTAGAAGAGAGTCGACTCTCAATGGCCATGCTAATTCTAAAACCTATTATCGGTTCGGTATAATAGAAATGTTGACAGTATATTTTTTGTAGACTACCTGAACTCATGTATACACCTGTGCAGTAACGTAATCTAGCACTGCTCAGGTAAATAGCTCGACGGCACCCATGTTAGTGCGGTGTGGGAAGGGGGCGGTGAGGTAAGGGACGGGGGTGTTTAAATTCCAAGTCCTCTCAATGACCATCCCCATAACATCGAAAACGTGTTGTTTGACAAATTTGTATCGTATAAATAGCTCGAGGAAGGCATTGTTACCCTCTCATTGACCCTGCTAATTACCTCTCAATGACCATTCTAATTGTAAAACCTCTTGACGCTTCGGTCCCCGATCAATAACATATTGTATAGTAGAAGAGAGTCGACTCTCAATGGTCATGCTAATTCTAAAACCTATTATCGGTTCGGTATAATAGAAATGTTGACAGTATATTTTTTGTAGACTACTACTCATGTATGCACCTGTGCAGTAACGTAATCTAACTCTGCTCAGGTAAATAGCCCGACGGCACCCATGGTAGTGCGGTGTGGGGAGGGGGCGGTGAGGTAAGGGACGGGGGTGTTTAAAGTCCTCTCAATGACCATCCTCATACCATCGAAAACGTGTTGTTCGAGAAATTTGTATCGTATAAATAGCTCGAGGAAGGCATTGTTACCCTCTCAATGACCCTGCTAATTGTAAAACCACACAGCAGTTTGGTCCCCTTATCAAGAACTGTAAAACATTTTCGTGCTTCTGTCCTCAGATCATAAACGCGTTTATAATATAAAAGGAGTCGTCGATGCAAGGTGTTGTTAAGGCATTGTTGTCCTCACAATGGCCTTGCCGATTGTAAAGTCTCTCAGCTGTTCGGTGCAGAATAATTGAAATGCTGACTATATATTTTTTTTGTGGCCCACCCGAAATTTATCTGAGGGTTGGGTTGTTCAAATGTCTTAGGGTATGCAGCGGTGCTGTAAGGTAGTCTAACTCTGCTAGTTATTATATAAATGGTGAAACAACAACAGCTTTGATCATTCAAATTCAGCCATTTAACATCGATAAGTGACTAAATAATATTCTTGAAGTACCTAACAGATAGAATTTGGTGAGCATCCCTTTATGTTATTTATCCAACACTATATTTATTTTTTTAATAATGTCTATCTTATCCTATTAAGAATATTTCAAGTATTCAATCAAAGTTTGGGCAATGCCTAGTAGCAACCCTTCTTGATTCTGATTCTGACCAGTTTAGGGTTTGGCTACCTAAAAGGGTGTTGGAAAACATGCCCGAAATTATGATTAAAGATATAAATGAGCCCCTAAACAAATATTCTTTAGCGTATATTGGCCAAAGCTCACCAAAGACACTATCAGGTAGTCGTTCAAAATGTTTAATAAAGTTTGACTTCGTTGACAGTAGTAATTAGTTCAAAAAAATATGAGCTAGTATAGGCAAATATGTTGGGTATAAATAATATAAATATTCAGATTGGAACTGGGTTAGCAAAATGCAGCAGGTAAAGTTGTTTTGACATATACCATGTTCCACTTGATATTGACCATTATATTTATCTTTCGAGAAGTAGTACACCCCCTTTGGTTTGACAAGATGTGGATGCATTATGCATCATTGCGTTGGCCTGATTCAAAGGATCTACGTACAGCTATCATGAGATTAGTGTGCCAGTTAACGGATTTGATGCATGACGCTGAACATTCAACAAACTACGATATGAATATTTTTTGGGATGATAACGAGGATGAAAGGATCAGGAGACTAATTCGGAAATACGAGGAAGGGCAGAAGTTGTGTGCGCAGTATCTACAAGAAGATTGTACTATTGAGCAGTTTTGTAGTGATATGATTAATTATAACCTGAGATCATTTCTGTGTAAGATTGCAAGGTATTTACCTCCGGAAATTATCCTCAAATGTAACCTCGTGTATGAGGATTGAACACTATCTATTTAGTTTACTATAGGATTATACAATGCATTCTTATTAAATAAATACCTGACATATTGAGTTGTTGTTATTTCATTGAAGAACATCAACGCATGATAAATACATGAATACATTATATTGTAATGCCTTAAAATTTTTTCATTAACTGAGAGAAGGCGATCACAGAAATGTTAAGTTTCCGACAGATGTGTGCAGCCTTCTGGAAATTTTCAAATTTCACATTAAAGATAACGATAGCTGAAGATACACAACGTACAAATTGTATACACTAACAATGATAGCTGCCATAAATTCGAATTGAGAATTGCCAACCACCTGAATGAGGTGAGGCTTGCCCAATACAATGCCTGTGATAGAAAGTCACTCCCCTGTGATATATATATATATATATATATAAAGAGAATATGATCATGCGGAGAAAGGTATATAACAACAAGTAGGAAAATAATGGGCAAAATCCGCAAAAAGGAGGAAAGTGAATTCGAGCAGAAAATAGGATAGGTAACCCGAGCGATACGTATTTCTGCTGGTTGGCTTTATCAATGAATGTTATATACATTTCTCCGCATGATCATATTCTTTTTGTAGATCCTTTGGGCTTGAAGTACCAGTGGCTATAACCGGCCGCGTGCTGGTGGTTAGACGTCTCCTTGAAAATTCGAGGTCGTATAGCCATTTTATACATTCATTTCGGGCCTGATGAAGCCAACCAGCAGAAATACGTATCGCTCGGATTACCTATCCTGTTTTCTGCTCGAATCCACTTTCCTCCTTTTTGCGGATTTTGCCCATTATTTTCCTACTTGTTGTTCTATATATGTATATATATATATATAACAAAAATAGGAAAATAATGGGCAAAATCCGCAAAAAGTGGATTTGAGCAGAATAGGATAGGTAACCCGAGCGATTCGTATTTCTGCTGGTTGGCTTCATCAGGCCCGAAATGAATGCACATATGCAACTACAAAAGTAGAGACACATGCCCATACATCCGGATACGGGTGTAACCTGAGGAAACAAAGATGGAGAGGAAAAATAAGACACACGAAGTCCACAACAAGAGCCAACCTACACATTGTAGTATCAAATGGCTAGAAGACCTAGAATTTTCAAGGCGACAAATAACCACAACCACGCGGCCGGTTATAGCCACTTGCTGTGGTACTTCAAGCCCAAAGGATCTACAAAGAGTAAATTATCATGCGGAGATATATATATATATATATATATATATATATATATATATATATATATATATATATAGCATGACAGGACAAGTTCGATTGTGCGTTCGGGAATTCTTCTCATAATATGCGTCCTAATATTCGACAACATCCACGCAAGACAAAATAGAAATGGCTGCTGGTGAAAGAAGGGACTTTTTAAAGAAATGGCTGCTGGTGAAAGAAGGGACTTTTTTTAATTACACTATTCCCAGAAAACTATCTATAAAGAGTATTTAGTATTTCCGTGTATGCACCTGCTCCTATATATAGCAGGTGGTACCCCAAGCTGTCATGCTATATATTATAAGGGTTCAAATAAAGGCACTGTATAGTGTTTTGGGACAACTTTCAACAAGGAATGTTTGGCATTTCTGCCACGAATCTATGCAATTTAACATGTGTTAATAGCGAAGGTCTCACGGTCAGGATTCGGTTTCTCAATATGGATAAATACATGATATACTGGGTTGTTGTTATTTCATCGAAAAACATCAACGCATGATAAATACATGAATGCGCGGAAATGATATCATTACTACGGAAAACTAATAAAACAGGAGGTACGTTTCATTATTTTGTAATGCCATTCCTAAGACACACACATATAAGGGCGAGGGGATGAATTCAAACAGGAGAACGATCAATCGGTAGGTTAGAGGCGTTTTATGATTAGTAACTATACGGCGTGACCTAACCTCTTGTATGCATGCTAACCAATAAGGATACGTAAAGGCATGTAGATTTAACGTTTTTATATTGCCCTTGTGGATAGGTAAACAGGTCTCTGAATCTGAAACGAAAGATAACAGTGGAGGGAGAAATGTGGAAATCCCAACCATTTAACTAACAGCTTGTTGCCCTTTCTCCTAATCACCTTTTCAATCAAGTACTCATTTGGAAATTTTATTTTTCTTAGTTCCTTCTCGTAGAAACAGCCTTTTATTGGACAACCTTCCACGTCTTCTAACATATATGTAACTGAACTTGAATAGTTCGATGTATACCCTTTTTCAAAAAGACTTTTGTATTTGCTTAGTCTGACGATATCGCCAGGTTTAAGCTTCCCTTTTCCAGCTACTTTTGGATGATTGTACACATTCAATCGTGTATGGAAGTCGACTGCGATGGGGCTTTCACCTGTCGTTCGATGTTTCCTGTTGTTATAAAAATCAGTAACATCTGCTAAGATATTGATCCACCGGTAGCTTTCCCTGACTGAAAATTCAGTGAAAAGTAGGTGTTTTGGTGATCGGATAGTTCTCTCAGCAATAGTTGCAGCTTTTTTTGTACTGTATGTGGAATAATGATTAATCCCATGCTTGTGCATCAGAGCAGAAAATTTGCTGATGTAGAACTCCGATCGATTATCCGTTTGTAGATTCTTTGGGTGATGGGTAGCCGTTTGTAAAATATCATCCATTGCAATAGTTACGGTTACCGTATCTTTCCTTTTAATTGGTCTGCACCACATGAACTTAGAATAGCAATTGATAACTACTAATATGTATCTATATTCATCATTCTCTTCACTGAAAGATTGCATTTCAGCTAAATCAGCTTGCCACAAGTCAGCGAAACCCTTTATGATAGTTCCTCGGCGGGGAAAATTCCTTCGAGCCGCCATATGTAGCTCCTTGGCTATACCACGTTTTGTTTCGCTTACGATAGACATATTCACTACTATGAATACTCTGATGAAATGAGCTTGTATTTGCAGGTATCTAGTTTATTTAGATGGAAGTGATAGGTTTAAAATCGTACTCAACTCGTTAAACTTTTTGTCAAAGTCACGTTTACTTTCCAGCACCTTATCGTTGCAGTATGTCACTGAATCACTTAATACATTGGAAACTCCTAGTCGCATCAATTTACCCATTTCGGTTACAAATTTATTCATGGTTTCTTCAGTATACTTTACAGTCACAGCATCGTTTTTGTCCACACGATCACCAACATTCTTCATCAGTTTTTTTTCAAAATATTATGGTCATATATACCCCGACCCACTGATGATCTCTGGGCGATGATGTTGATATGATATTCAGTAATTTAGCGAAATGTTCAGTTCCATCGTTTCTGAAGTCATATGTAGAACAATATGCTTTACGAAGTACATTAGTTTTAATCATTATATTTTTGAATGTGTTCAAGTAACGGGAGTCCAAATTCTTTGTATCAGGCAGTTTGTCCAAAAACATCAAATCGAGTAATTCAGGAGACCTTTTAAATTTTATTCTGTCCTTCTTCTTCTCAGAATCTAATAGCAGGTAACGTCCACCAATATCAAAGCTCACTTGGAGTTTGCCTAATAATAACTTAAAACCAAAAATATCAAATCGAGTAATTCGGGAGACCTTTTAAATTTTATTCTGTCCTTCTTCTTCTCAGAATCTAATAGCAGGTAACGTCCACCAATATCAAAGCTCACTTGGAGTTTGCCTAATAATAACTTGTCCGACTGTGGATTTATTCTCACATTGTATATGCCTCTATACCCTGGATTATTTGCTTTTAAATTAGATATATGGTTATTTATCAAGTTGGTCAAACATCCAGATGCTTCACTATGATTTGAAGTAGACATGTATCCACTCATTGAATTTTCTTCATGCGCTCTGAGTAATGAATGTGTGTCAGATTGCGTTTGCATCGGGGCAATAGTAGAAAGTTTAGTATGAGACAAGTCACCAAATGTGGGTGGAAAGATCTGTTCAAATGGTCAGTGAATTCACTACTGTTCTCAACAACTCAGTTTTTCTTACACCTGATTTTGTCGCATCAAATAATTTCTTCTTGATTCATCAAATGATACTTTTTTAGGATGCTTGGAATACCGATTTGGGGTGTTGACTGTTTCGACAAGCTGGATGTAGATACTTCCGCTAATGTTTTGAGCTGTTTGGTAAAGGGCTCATATACCTGCTGCAATGCAATATCATGGAATTCACGTCCTTTCTTGATAGCAATAAATTTCTTCCGAGCTGACTCTGCTCCATCTACTAATTCCATCTTGAGTGTCACTTTGGTGTTATTCTGCTGCCGTTTCATTTTGCTATCTTTTAATCCACCGCGATGCGCACTAGATGCAGTCCCGCTATTGATTGATGGTGTCTTTATTTATGAAACTATCAAACCCCTTCCCGTAACGACTACTTGTCAGTTCGCTGTCCTTATCGATGACTAAGAATCCGTATTTATCGCTCCAGCACATTGCACAAATGTCTTGAAATTGCTTAAAGGTCATATCAGGTGCTACATGATCGGAGAAAACATGAGATAATGTGTGTTATCCACCTTGAATAAGACAATTAGGTTAGCATTGTCTCTTATTACTCTTTTGGGCACCCAGGAGTAACTCTGCACACAATAGAAGCAATCCACACCTTTGTGCCTACCCATGCTGAAGTATTTTAGAATAGAAGTCGGATTTTCTGTCATTACGTCATCAAAAATGAATATTGAATTCGGCTTGGCTTTCGATGGCGGTAAGATATCACCATTACTGTTAAATGCATAATAACCTAAACCATTGACCGAAATTAGTTCTTTCTGTATAAATTGATATTTCGGTTGATTCAATGATTTTGAAAGTATATAGACGTTTTCAAAGTAGAGTCCATTCTCATGTAGCAGTAACGATACTAATACGTTGGTTTTTCCACAGTTCGATGGTCCAACAATAATACTTCCATGCCGCTGCATAGCATTGTTTTGTATATCCGCCACTTTTGTATCAATATTGCTGATACATAATTCTTGATTCTGTTTTGTGACCCTCATTGTACAACGAGGTGAGCATATACAAACTGCAATTGCGTATGTCTTATTTATTTAAATGTCACTACATCGCATTAGAAGGTGTCAAAGCACTCCAAAAGCTGCTGGTGGTGGTTTTGTCGATACGCTGATAGATAAGTTACCATTCGAAGTACACTTACCTTCTTACCAGTTCTGCGGTCCAGGGACACGTCTTCAAAAAAGGTTAGCTCTAGGTCAGAAAGGCATTAATAAATTAGACGCTGCATGCTTACAGCATGATATTGCATATCAGAAATCTGATTTGACAGCGAGACACGTTGCTGATTATCAACTTGAGCGAGACGCTTGGAAAAGAGTCAAATCTCCAGACGCAAAACTTGGAGAAAAAGCTGCCGCTTGGTTAGTTACTAATATCATGAAAGTAAAACGTCACGCAGGAATGGGTCTAACATCATGTCGTGGACGGAGTGGAAGAGAATACATCCGCAGAACATCGGGTATTATGAAAGTCAAACGTCGTATAGGTATGGGAGGACATGCATCACGGCGTGGACCTAAAGGAAGAAAAGCTATCCCTAGAAAATCAAGTAGATCACAAAAAAGGTACATTTTGGATCGGGGATAGTGATTAAAGTATGCAAACACATGAAAAGGTTCTTAAACTGTAAACCAGACAAGAGAGTATTAGATAAGGCGACTTCCGCTGCATTACTTGCTGCCCGGAAGCATATCAGATCCCATCGGTGGAAAACGGCTGATTCAGCTTCCGCGAGTTATATCTATTCCCAAGGTTGGAGGCATCCTTCCTTTGATACCAATTTTTGCCGGTCTTTCAGCATTAGGTAGTCTAGCTGAGGGTATTCCCAACATAACAAGAGCTGCTAAAACAGCTAGTTCAGTGTGTGAGCAAATTCAAAATAGAAGCACTTCACCACCTTCTTCTAATGTGAATCGAATTGGGGATGGTCTCTTTCTGAAACCATACCGTAAAGGATTGGGTAATTCATCAAGTTAAGGAATTCAAAAAACTATTGAAAACCCTCCCTCGTCGACCGCTAACAAATATAGAGCTAATCTATTATGCTAGGAAGCTAAAAATACCATATCTCAAAGAAATATTTATGCGCGATGAAATGTCAGAGCAGGGTCCGTTGAAGAATGAATCAGTCATAATTAATTTAGATAACAAGAGTGGGGATGGGTCACATTGGGTTTCATATATAAAACGCGGGATGGCTGTATGGTACTATCATAGTTTCGGCAATCTACGCCCACCCAAGGAGCTAATCAAATATTTGACCAACAAGTCGAAAAAGATAAAAATCTCGTACAATTATAATCGACAACAACAGTTCAATACGTTTTGGTGTGGTCATTTGTGTCTGCGATTTCTATCTGAAGAAATATCAGAGCGCTGAAGACAACGGATCACGAACGATTGAAAAAAATTAGAGACTCTCTTAAAGCCTTTTTAAGGGAGAGAAGCATGTTGAATATAACGCAAGATGAACTTGCATACATACCGAAAGAGGTACTTATATGCTGCACGCCAAATGAAATAGCACATGTATGGAACAAACTTCCGGAGCATTTGAAGGAGGACGCTGATATATAGCGATTCCAATTCTGCTGGGAACACCATGGAATAAGCATTAGTGATGATGAAGCAGATGCACCGCCACCAAGAAAAATATTTTGTTGTTACTGTAACATGCAAGATAGCAATGTTAAAAATACATCTGAATCAAACAACTGTTGTAATCAATAAATATTTGTTTACCTATATAAGACCATGTTTTCATTCATCAAGTCCTCAGTCATGTCTAACACATTTACTCTAACGGGTTACACTAGCAAACTGTCGCCTAATTTTTATCCACCAATCGAGTTGGATATAAGTGCGGAATATGGTTGGCTTTTATTCGTACAACACCATATACAAAATTGATGATCAACATAATAAAATATCTCTTACTCACGAGGGTGACGAGAGTAATGTGGTAACCCTTCCTGAAGGTGTTTATGAAATCGAAGATATCAATAAATACATACAACATGAAATAATATCAATGAATGATACATATAAAGATAGATATGAAAACAAACTTGATGACATGTTCTCTTTGAAAGCCAACACTAATACTGTATTCGATATTGCTCTGTCCAATTCCATGGCAACTATGCTTGGATTTAAGAACAAAATTTTTCCCAGAAACAAAATCTACATATCGAATTTACCTGTAAACATAACTCCCATCAGGATAATAAGAGTCGACTGTGGATTAATATCAGGAGCTTAGTGCAATAGCATTGAAATGCACACTTTGTATGAGTTTGATATAGACGTTGAACCAGGATTTAAATTAGCAAAGGAGCCTCAGAATGTAATATATATATGAGCGTTAAACCGCGTGGATGCCAGTTTATTGATAGCATCACACCATCACACTGGAAATTTCGGATCACGTCGGGAATTTGATCGATTTCCGTGGTTAAAAAATTATAGTCAAATTAGAACTGCGACGCCTGTCTAGTGCCAGCTGAAGACAATGGGATTTCTATATAATG